GTTCGTCACAACCGTCCAGGCCACCCAGGGCAGTCCCTGCCCGGGATGTGTCGGTGGCACGTGGATATACAGACCCCTGCGAGGGGAGCCCAGCCCCAGGCCTGGCACCTCCAGACATTGCACCCCCAGGTGAGGCAGAGCTGCCCCGCACAGAAGGCCCCATCTCATTCCTTGCCCTGGGGCCTCTTGCCTGGCCCTGAGCTGGAAACAGGATTCTGGCCCCACAGGCTCCAGGGGGTCACAGGGTGAGACGACGCCCCCACGTCTCTGCACCCACAGAGGTCCCTGTCCCACCCCCCCCAGCCCTTCCCGCTGCCCCTCCTGAACAATTCCTGCCTTTCCCCGCTTGGTATTTTGCTCTGGTCCCTTTCATCCCAGTCTGCATCTCCCGTCCCCCACGCTGGACCTGTCTGCAATCCCAGCCCTAGGTGGGCAGCGAGCACTGGTGGTTAGAGCAGGGGGGCTGGGAGCCAGGACTCCTGGGTTCTATCCTGCAGTGACCTCCTGGACTGGAGGACAGCGACTGTGGCCACCTCCCAGGGTGGGGTGTTACAGAGAACCCCCATCATGGGCACCCTCCTGTGGCCACCTTTAGCAGCACAGGCCAACCCACCTCAGCTTCCCCATCACAGTCTCTCCCAGTGCTTCAAACTATTGGTTTAAAGTGCTCCCCAGCCCCCCGGGGTAAAGCCAGGCACATGCAGCCGCTCTGCAGGCCCGTTCCCCGGTTACCCAGCCGAGAGTCACTGACCACTCGCCCCCTGCCCTTTGCCCTGGTCCAGAGCCCCACGCCCGCTTGAGAGGACCAGCACCCACTTCCCTCCTGCAGCTCCAAGCCAGGTCTCCTGCCAGGGGGGTCCCCAGTGTCACCCCCAGGCTGCTTCCCCCTGCCCAGAGAACCACCCGCCCTGTATGTGGGGCAGTCCCAGTGCGCCCCATGCACAGACAGGGGGGCTCTGCCCCCTACAGGGATCTCACAGCTGCCACAAAGAGCAGAGCTCCCGCCCCGCCCCGCCCCGGCATCCTCACTGGTTAAAGTGGAGTCCCCCCAGGCCAGCAATTCATTACCCAGCCCACCCCCGCAGCAGCCCACGGCTCTTCACCTGCCCAGGGGGCAGCAGCAGGATCCCCGCCCCATTCCTGGGGAGCTCCAATGGGGTCTAGCATTACAGGGGGAGAGGCCGGGCAGACTGACCCATTGCTCATAGGGGGAGGGGCTGGAGCTTCTCCCCTCTCCCCTAGATTGGGCCAATATCCCACTTCCGGCACTGCCGTCACCCTGACCCCCAGAACAGAAGGGGGGGCTGGACAAATTGCTGTCCCTGTAACAACCTCCTGGCAGGCATCACCCCCGCACACGTGTGTGAACACACACATGTGAACACACACACACACACACACACACACACACACACACACACACACACACACACACACACACACG